TGCCACCGGGGATGGCATGTACGTACATGCCATGCCCACTGTGAGCCGACTTGTTCGTTGTTTTTACACATAGATGGCTGCACTTGTACTAAGTATCCAATGAGCCAATTACAGTACTGCCTGCCTCGCCCGTTCACCCTTTTCATCGATTTACGAAAATATTTAACGTTATCCTAATTTGCTGTTAAAAATAACACCATCTATATTCATAGCACTAGCAAAAATACGTTTTTTTTTTCTTCCGCCAATTCAAGGAATGGTGAAATCAGGACTAGCAGAGCCATCTATGGACAGAGATATTTCACAAAAATATAAAAAATGATTACTGCATTTCCGCCATTTTTTGTTCATTTTCCCCGGCGGCAATGGGTTAAGATGTGTTACACTGAAGCTTATACGCCTTGCTATTTCAAGTGGCAGACACCGTCCCTTCTCAGTATTAGCAAAGACGTAATATTTTCATGATCCAACTTAGCAGGAAAAGGGGTTAGACATGCCTCAGGCTTGAAATACGGGCGCCGCACGAAGGGATCTTTATGATGCTTTTAAAGTATGAGGCCGTAAGCTTGTGGGATAGTTTGTATATCATTACTGTCGTGAAAAAATATTTCTCTCTCTCACTGAACAATATATATTTAAACATATATATATATATATATATATATATATATATATATATATATATATATATATACTCACACACACACACACACACACATACACATATATGTGTATATATATATATGTATATATATATATATATATATATATATATATATATATATTATATAAATCTCCCCCCCTCTCTCTCTCTATATATATATATATAAACATACACACACACACACACACACACACATATATATATATATGTATATATATACATACATCCACACATGTATGTGTATATATATGTATGTATATGTATATATACATATATCTATCTATCTATCACATACATATGAAAAGGAGAACAGCCACAATAAGAAATCAAATTAAATCGTAACGAGTTAATCATTCTTCTGATTTAATTTCTTATTATGACTATTTTCCTTTTCATCTTTGTGTACACGTTACTGTGTTTGTTTGTGTTTACACACACACACGCGCGCACACACACACACACACACACACACACACACACACACACACACACACACACACACACACACACACACACACACACACACACACACACACACATACACACACACAAATACACAGATGAAAACAAGACAATTAAATAAGTACCATCCCGTGCATTAAATTCATCCCCATCAAATTCGACTACAGAAAGCCTTGTTTCAGTTCGAACCTTTAGTAGCGTTACAGAAACAGTTTCAAGGTTCACGACGAATCACATGAAGTAAACAGTGGACTGAGGAGAAGTCGCTGGTTGAGCGCATTTGCACCTGCCAAACACTGCGGTTGTTTTTAATATGGTTGCCGTCGATATTCAGTGCAGATGAAAACCTGTTTCGTCCATTTCAGGCGATCTTCAAATTCACCCAGAAAGATACCAGGTATGGCAGTGTTGTTTCGCATTATTATTATTTCGTATTCCAGAACTGTTTAAGTGAAAAATTCGTAGGGCGACATATATTAGCCTTTATTTGAATCTATAAAGTGAAGATGTTTATATACGAGGCAGAATCTATCATGCTTTTCCATTAGGTAAAAGAAGACATTTTGGCAAAATCTTGTCTAATGGAGCGGGGTCTGTATTTTTTTTTGGAAAATTTTCCGCGCATGTCAACCAATCGTACAGTAAAATAAGTGTATGGAATGGATACCTTGACGAAAAGTAAGACACTTTTCATCTATGGCAACAACTGCGCAAATCTAAAATAAGGGAGATATAGGACAGAGAAGAGAGAAACTCGACCCTTCATTTTCTAAGTCCCCTTCCATGTTTACCTTGCGAGATCAAAACAATTGTGACGCGTAACTCATTACTGCGATCCAGCAAGTAGTCCATGTATTGCTACGCGCTTGTGAGAACGCTTATTTTGTCATTACTAGCGTCTGATTCTCTGAATTCATGTATGTAATGCATTCTTCTAGTTTTATTATACTTCTCTTGCGTCTTTTGGTAATTATTTACGTTATTCTATACAATAACCTTTTGCGCATGCGCGTTTTCACCGGGAGATTTGACAGGTCGACCCACCGCCATTCGCTCAGAAACACCGGTGAAAAATGTTTCATTTCAAGTGCTGTGTCGACATCGGGTTATTTTTAAAACTATATTGTGGATATACAGGACAAAGAGACATTATTCTCAATCACAAGCCTGATATTTGAGCCCAACAAGTGCCCCAAATGCCGAAAAAAGTGATTAGAAACCAAGCAATTCTGACCATGGACGGAAGCGCACAATAGTTCGGTTTTTCGTTTTATAAAGGTATGTGGTATATTACTACGGGGGTCCTAGGCGCATTTAATACCATGGGGGTCCAGGGGGCAAAGCCCCCTGGCTAGGGAATGTATAGATCGTAGTGTATAAATCCCACAGGGTTAGGTTAGGCTAGGTTAGGTTAGGTTGGTTTGTTGGTTAGGACGCATTGTACGATTATCACAGGGGATCTGGATTATGTGAAATCCCGTAGATTTTTACCGAACGGTGGGTTTGGTTCCCGTAGAGTTTTTCGAAATTTGGCGCGTCGGTCCGTAGACTTTGAAAGATGGCGGCGATGTCCGTAGAGTTTCATTATCCGATTTTAAGCGTTTTTTGTGCTTGTTTTACACATTTCTGCTCTCTATTTTGCTTATTTCAGCCTGTTTTACCCCGTAATTTCCCTGATCTACTTCATGCCCTCCCCTGCTATCGGGACTTATGAAAACACATCAAGATTGTCGGCTGGAGAATCCGACGGAGAATATCATCAGATTCGTTCTCATCACACGAGA